CTAATAGCTGGCTTCCTCCTGAGGGCTGGAGGGGTCGTCCCCCCAGGACCACCCCGTTTGCCTCTCTCTCAACCCTCAGGTCCTCTGCTGACGGCCCCACCTCGGGCCCCCATAGGGAGCCGAAGAAGCAACTGGGGACACAGGTGGCCAGAGGAGCAGGCACCTGAGCCTGGGATCAGCTCTCACTGGACACACACTAGGTCCCAGGGTCAGGACTTGGAACACGGAGAGCCCCCCAGGCCTGGGCTGGGGATGGGCAGGAGAGGGGCTCAGAGGCTGGAAGTGAAACCTATATATGGTGGTGCTGGGGCCCGTGTGAGGAAAGCAAGAGAGACTCCATCTTGAAGCCTGTCATCCGTCTTAAAGACAGGATGTGACCTGGGCCTGAACCCTGCCCGAGAGTGAGGAAACTGTTGCTAGTGAAAACCAGCTTTCCTGGAGCCTTCCCTCCCTACAGGTGACAAATGGTGGTTGTAGTTGTGGTCAGGCTGCCTGTTAGGTTAACCATGGAGACATTCCCCCTTGATGTATAATCATTATTCCCCCCTTTAACCTTAATCGTTTGTTCTCCTAGCACCTACTTGTTGTAAAACTCAATCATATGCAACAAAAACGTTGCTAACATGTAACCAGTCACGTAGTGGGGGGTATAAAACAGGCGCTCAGAAACCTCAGGATCCTTGTTGGGAACTGATTCCCCTCGGACCCGCTGGTGTAATAAACTGTACTCCACTGTCTTGAGTGACCTCCGAGGTGTATTTTGTGACTCCAGATTCCACAACGGTGTCATTTCAGGGGGACTCCGCAGAGCTCCAGTACCACAGTCTCTTATGTCTCTGTAAAGAGATTCAGCGAGAGTAAAGTGGTAGATAAGTGATTTATTAGAATAGGACATTTGTGAGGCTTACGAGGAGGCAGACAAGAAATGCCATACCCCAAGAACTTAGTGGGCTACAGTGTTATAACCAAAGGAAAAGTGGGGTGGGGGAGAAGACCTTCTTTCTCTTGAGTGGACTTCATGCTTCCATCATCAGCTCCTCCTCCAGGTTGAGCGTGGGGGTTTTCTTGCCCCTATGTGGTCAAGCTAGGTCCACGAATTCTTGTTTTTTATGTGTTCAGAGACCATGTCCTGGCATCACTAACATACTAGCTCACTGGGCAGGTCTCCTGCTGCCATTGTTTTATCTTCTGGGGGCAGGTCTCGTCCTTCTGTTGCATGGTTTTGTGGTTCAGCAAGCCTGCTTGGTTTTGTGATTAAGCAAACCTACTTTCTCAAGTGATCATTAACTTATAGGGATGTCCCATATTTTTCTGGGCTTCCCTCATAACTCAGTTGGTAAAGAATCTGCCTGCAATACAGGAGGGCCCAGTTCGATTCCTGGGTCAGGAAGATCCCCTGGAGAAGGAAATAGCAACCCACTCTAGTCTTCTTGCCTGGAGAATCCCATGGACAGAGGAGCCTTGTGGGCTACAGTCCATGGGGTCACAAGAGTCGGACACGACTTAGCAACTAAACCACCACCACATTTTTCTACTTACAATCTCCTAGTGGGATTAACTAGTTAATCGCCATCTCATCTTCTGTCGTCCCCTTCTCCTTCTGCCCCCAATCCCTCCCAGCATCAGGGTCTTTTCCAATGAGTCAACTCTTCGCATGAGGTGGCCAAAGTATTGGAGTTTCAGCTTCAGCATCAGTCCTTCCAATGAACACCCAGGCTTGATCTTCTTTAGGAGGGACTGGTTGGATCTCCTTGCAGTGCAAGGGACTCTCAAGAGTCTTCTCCAACACCACAGTTCAAAAGCATCCATTTTTCGGCGCTCAGCTTTCTTCACAGTCCAACTCTCACATCCATACATGACCACTGGAAAAACCATAGCCTTGACCAGATGGACCTTTGTTGGCAAAGTAATGTCTCTGCTTTTTAATATGCTATCTAGGTTGGTCACAACTTTCCTTCCAAGGAGTAAGCGTCTTTTAATTTCATGGCTGCAATCACCATCTGCAGTGATTTTGGAGCCCCCCAAAATAAAGTCTGACACTGTTTCCACTGTTTCCCCATCTGTTTCCCATGACGTGATGGGACCAGATGCCATGATCTTAGTTTTCTGAATGTTAAGCTTTGAGCCAACTTTTTCACTCTCCTCTTTCACTTTCATCAAGAGGCTTTTTAGTTCCTCTTCACTTTCTGCCATAAGGGTGGTGTCATCTGTATATCTGAGGTTATTGATATTTCTCCCAGCAATCTTGATTCCAGCTTGTACTTCTTCCAGCCCAGTGTTTCTCATGATGTCCTCTGCATATAAGTTAAATAAGCAGGGTGACAATATACAGCCTTGACGTACTCTTTTTCCTATTTGGAACCAGTCTGTTGTTCCATGTCCAGTTCTAACTGTTGCTTCCTGATCTGCATACAGGTTTCTCAAGAGGCAGGTCAGGTGGTCTGGTATTCCCATTGTTATAGCCACGTGTTCCGGGAAACAAACTCACTCAGAAGGACAATGCAGATAGTGGAGTGCAGTTTATTACACCAGCGGGCCCAAGGCAGAGTCTCCTCTTAGACAAGGACCCCGACCAGCATTTGGGAAAATCTTTTATACCCCGTGTGTACATGTCCAAACCCACCACCCCAAATCCCTTGAGGCTTAAAAAGGAAGGGTAAATACAATCACAATAACCCCATCATTCACGTGTTATGTGTTCAAACAGTTAATAATCAATAAGCCCGCGGTTACATTCCAACCAGTTAATAACCAATAAGCCTGTGGTTACATTCCAATAGATACTGTCCAGAGGCAGGGGTGATTAGTGTCTGTTTTCTCTTAGGTGATGAGTAACCTGGATACGATCTTCAAGGTTCCCCTGTCTGGAGGGGGTCTTATCCTTCCATTGTCATTCCCACAGGCATTAAGCAGAGAGTTCAGAGTCCACTGGAGAGGTAGCCGAGCACGATCAGCATGGACAGGCCTCAGATGGAGTCCAGGCCCTATGAATTCCTTCTTCATTCCCCCCTCTTGATGCTCTTAACTCATATTATGAGCATCATTCATAGTGATATATTGCACCCTGGCTGTCCAACTGCCAATTAGGGAGAATGACATCAACCTTCGGGTTACAAAGTTCATAATACATTGTAAAATTCAGGGTCCACAAAGCAGAACTATCAAGGCAACTATGACAGTGGTAAATATAGTTTTCCACCAATCGCCCTTCACCCAAGATCGGACCGAAGTCCAGAAAGGAATGTTTTCATTTGACATTGCTTTTACCTGGTTTTTCATGTCATTTAAAGTAGTCAATACATTGTCAGATAAGTCAGGAATGTATACACAACATTCAACCTTAATTATAACACAGGTCCCTCCTTGAGCAGCTGTGAGTATGTCCAAAGCCATTCTATTATGAATTACTGCTTTTCTCATTTAGATTTGCTCTTCATTTAAGGCTTGGATGGCTTCTGTTCTATCTAGGAGGGCCTGTTTGTGAAATTAGTCAAGGCCTCTACTTTAATCATAATGTATTTGTTGTCCCTATAGAGGGTACGAAAAAGGCAGCAATATACTCATACCATTGAAACACAGATCTTGTCCACCTAGCATGTAAATAAGGTAGATTTACTGAGGCTTGTTGTAGGTTAGGCTTTTGTTACACTGGCATTTATATCAAATGTAACCCCATGACCCGAGTCTATTGACTGTAGGTCTTACACCAAGAGAGCAAGGAGAGGTTATGATTGACAAGAGAGATGAAAGTCTCTTTTTGTCATCCCAGAAAAGAGCAGAGTGGTTTAAAATCTCCTTGGCGGAGCGGTGACACCCACCAAGGAAGTCCATCCATCACAGACAGAGGCATAGTCCTACATACCCAGAAGTTGTAGGTGTTGTGGAAGTCTGCGTAGGAATGTGCCCATGAGGTGAAAACGTTGTCCTGAGTTGAGAAGGAAGTTAAATTCAAAATCACGTTGATGAGCCCAAGCAGCAGGAGTTGATTGTGCAGCTTTATCCTGAAGGGGCTCGTCCGGGATCTTTTCCTTCTTGCTGAGGATGGTCTTAGTCTCTCGAGGATCAGTGTGGTCCCTCTGTGCAGTCCACTCAGTGTTTTCTGAGTCTGCGTGGTATGCTGTCTTCACCCTCGTACGATGGATTAAGGGACAATATCTGCAATTTTAACTGCAGTAGGGGTAGTTAGAATAACATAAGGGCCCTTTCAGCAAAGGGCTAGCAAAATCATGTTTTCAATCTTTGACCCATACTTGGTCACCAAGTGTAAACTCATGAATCTGTTCCCCAAGGTGTGTGTGTGGGGGGGGGGGGGGGGGGAATGGCACCCTTTCTTGTACAAACTTAGTTACCCGATTTATTACCTTACCCAGTTCCATCTGCTGTGAAATCCTATCCCCCCTTACCTGAGGCAAATTTGTTGACACCTGTTTTATTATGGGAGGAGGCCTCCCATACACAATTTCGTATGGAGAATAGCCTTGGGACTGTGGGGTCATCCTGAGTCTGAGCAGAGCCGTTGGAAGAAAGTCCACTCAGGAGCGGTCAGTCTCTCTGATCCACTTGGAGAGCCTCTTTAAGTGTCTGGTTGGTTTATTCCACCATCTCAGAACCCTGGGCCTATATGCAGTGTGCAGTTTCCATTTGCTTACTTGTTGTACTAAATCAGCTACAAAAGCCGGGCCATTGCCTGATCCAATGCTGGTAAGAAATCCAAATCTGGGAACTATTTCCCTAAGCACACACCGGGTTACTTCTGATGTTCTTTCAGTTCAGGCAGGAAAAGCTTTTACCCATCTTGGGAACGTACATACTATGATCAGCAGATAATGGTAGTGTCGGTGAGGTTTCATTTCAGTGAAGTCCACTCCCAGGTGTTCAAGGGGCAGCGTGCCTTTCAGCTGAATACCCGGAGGTTTTTGTCTGAATACCTGAGAGGCAGCATTAACCTGTGAACAGGCAGCATGGCCTAGGTGGGTCGCTTGGTGTGTTTGGCTCACCAGAGTGTGTGCCAGCTCCTCCGGTACCAATAATTTGCCACTTGGCAATTCCCACCATCCCTTTTCAGTCTTGATGGCTCCTTCCACTTTGGCTAACCTGACAGCCGTTGTCCTTGTTTTATCAGGCTAGTGCCATCATATAGGACCCAATTAGGGTCTGGAACCTTGAGCCCTTCTTTAAAACAAAACCCAGATACCTTACCTCCTCTTTGTAGATCTGTGCCTTCTTCTTCGACACCGGGTAACCTGCTTCCATCAACAGCTGGAGCAGTGCATTTGTCCCTTTCCAGCATTTTTCCTTGGTCTCAGGCAGCCATCAGCAGGTCATCCCCGTATTGTAGGAGCCGACATCCATACTCTTTCGGATGGAATGAGTCCAGGTCAGAAGCCAAGGCTTCTCCAAAGATGGCTGGGGAGTTTTTAAACCCTTGTGGGGGAGTCCAGATGAGCTGTTGTTTGGTGCTCCCGACGATTGGATCTTCCCATTCAAAGGTGAAGATGGGCTGTGACGCATGGATGAGGCGTATGCAGAAGAAGGCATCCTTGAGATATAAGCAAGTGTAAAGTTTAGTCCTCTGCGGGAGGAGGCTAAGTAAGGTATAGGGGTTTGAAACAGTGAAGTGTAAAGTCACAGTAGCCTGGTTGACTAGCCTGAGATCTTGTACAGGGCTATAGTCCTGTCCTCCTTCCTTTTTGACTGGCAGGATTGGCGTATTCCAAGCCGACTGGCACTCTACTAGAATGCCTGCTTGTTTCAATCTATTGATGTGGGGCAATATGCCAGCTCAGGCCTCTATCCATAGCGGGTACTGGCACTTTCTAACTGGGATGGTGCCTGGTTTGAGTTCTATTATCACGGGGCATGATGTTTAGCAGCCTGGGGGGAGGGGGGGTTGTCTTCCACCCAGACCTCAGGGAATAATTGAGTTAGCGCTCTCTCATGCTCTTCCAGCCCTCCCGGTTCTTCCTTCGGAGGCTCATGCAACCTCCACTCATCTTGGGTTGGTATTGAGAGAGAGAGCAAATAAGTCATAGTGTCCATCCAGAAGGTGGGCCTCTCCTCAGGGGAGAAACTCACTTGTGCTCCTAGTTTGGAGAGCAAGTCTCTTCCCAGCAGGGGTACTGGGCACTCAGGAATGTAGAGGAATTCATGAATCACTTGGTGCACCCCACCACCCCTCATCTGACATTTCCTGGGCTGGCAAAACGATTTAATCATCTCTCCTCCTGATACCCCAGTTACAGCGGTAGTCTTTTTGGACAGTGGGGCCACAGGTTTTGTTACTACTGACAGTTCTGCTCCTGTATCCACCATGAAGTCAATGTTTTGCTTCCCCACTTTAAAGGTTACCATGGGTTCTCGGGGACCTGATATCTCTGAGCCCCGGCATCCCTATTTAATTTCCAAGTCAGCAAGCCCCACAACTGCGGGAGCTTCCTCTTCCTTCCTTGCCTTAGGACGTTTATTCTTCCAGTGGTCAAAACCTCGGCACCGGGCACACTGGTTTGGCTGTAACGAGGTCCGGGACCTCCGTTGGGACTGGTTGAAGGACTGTCCTGTCCCTGGGGCAGAGGAGATTTTCCGGAGGGCCCAAGATGACTTTCCCAGAGCAGCAGCTTGCACTGTAAGTCTCTTGTCTGTTCTCTTTCGTCCCCTCCGGCTCTCTGGCAGAGCGCAGTGTCTGCTTAATTCCAACGTCTCCCTCCCCTTCTTATCAGTACTCACCGGGAGAGGCGGGTATAGCTTGGGCGGTTCGGTTGGAGCAGGATCCTAGAAGTGTTGGCCAGAGGCTTCTGTCACTGGGATCGGAGCCTGCCAAAACGGCAGCTCTACGAACTCCGGGGGAGCTGGCGGAAGAGCAGTGGCTGCTGCAGGAACTTCACCTGGCCCTGGATCGGGCATTAAGGTGGCCTCCGGGCCTGGTGAAGCGCTGGGAGGCAGGCGTGTCATTATCCAGCATGGGGGAGGGGTCAGGTCATCCCCGTCCAAATCCTGTAGAATTTCTTTTTTATCATCAGTCAATTTTTGTGCCATTAATATTTTTCCCTTTCCCTTCTGGATACAGAACCTTGTCCACATAGGAGGGTCTCGAGCTAACCCTAGCCATGAGTCAGTAGATGGGTATTGATCCAGGTGTCCTGGCTCTCCTGTGACTACTGTGTAGACTGCTTCCACTAGTTTTGAGTTCACGGTGTTCTCTGGTGGACATCCTACTCCCATAGGGGGCCATTCGACCTCAGAGTCTGTGGAGGTAGTTAGGCTTCATCTTCACCCCATAGTCTCCTCCTAATCCCTTCTTTAAATTTTTAATCATGCACTCCAATACAGTTGCCTTAGATTCACTTCCCCCCATCTTGCTTACCTTCTCGGACCTTCTACTTTTCCTTTTCGTTCTGCCTACGAAGTTCTCAGTACCCTATGTACTTCTGATATTTCCACTCAGTGACACTTAAATTGCCATTCTGCCTCCTTCCAAATTGGGGTGAGAAGAGCTTTACCTGCCAGATCCCAGAGGGAGAAGGGGGATCGGCATGTTTTCACCCCCCAGTCAGCACAGCTGAACCAGAACATCACATGGTCCAAGATTGTTTCTCCCTTAAAGTCCATTTTGCCTTGGTGGGCTTGATCAGGTGCAGATGAAAACACAGATGGGTTAAATATCCCATGTCCCAGGCCATCTCCAGAAAAGCCAATTCATACTCACTTCTGTATCCCCCTCCTTCTAGCCTAACAATTCCGAGGGGGTCAAGAATTTCACAGCAGACGGGACACGTCCTGGGGGAGGGCAGAATACGAGCATACAAGGACCAGTTTCCTATCCTAAAAATCCCCTGGCGATTGCTGGTAATAATTTTCCCTGAGACGGCGTGGACACACCTCCTAAATGACCTTCACAAATTTCCTTCCTAAACCCTAGCACGATAGTCCACCTGTGTACCAAGCAATCGCTGCCTGCCTATTCCAGGCTCCTGTGGGTCCCCGCTCCTTCTAGTCCCTCGCAGGGGGGTGATCAGGCCCCCTCTTCCACCCTGCTGGGTGGGTTCCTCCTCACCTGAGCGCTCAGTTCCCCTGCTGCCGTCCACTACCTGCTGACGTGAAAGGTCTGGGCGTTGAAAAGCAGAATCCTTCCAGAGGGGCGAGGCGCCTTCCCCCCTCTAGGAGATTCAAGCTACAAAGCCTCGGGGTGGCCTCAAATGAGACCTGTCTCCTCAAAGTGATGAGTTTCCCGGCCCATGCACCAAATGTTATAGCCACGCGTTCCGGGAAACAAACTCACTCAGAAGGACAATGCAGATAGTGGAGTGCAGTTTATTACACCAGCGGGCCCAAGGCAGAGTCTCCTCTTAGCCAAGGACCCTGACCAGCATATGTGAAAATCTTTTATACCCCGTGTGTACATGTCCAAACCCACCACCCCAAATCCCTTGAGGCTTACAAAGGAAGGGTAAATACAATCACAATAACCCCATCATTCACGTGTTATGTGTTCAAACAGTTAATAGTCAATAAGCCCGCGGTTACATTCCAACCAGTTAATAACCAATAAGCCTGTGGTTACATTCCAATAGATACTGTCCAGAGGCAGGGGTGATTAGTGTCTGTTTTCTCTTAGGTGATGAGTAACCTGGATACGATCTTCAAGGCTCCCCTGTCTGGAGGGGGTCTTATCCTTCCATTGTCGTTCCCACAGGCACTAAGCAGAGAGTTCAGGTAGCCGAGCACGATCAGCACGGACAGGCCTCAGATGGAGTCCAGGCCCTATGAATTCCTTCTTCACCATCTCTTTCAGAATTTTCCACAGTTTATTGTGATCCACACAGTCGAAGGCTTTAGCATAGTCAATAAAGCAGAAATAGATGTTTCTCTGGAACTCTCTTGCTTTTTTGATGATCCAGCGGATGTTGGCAATTTGATCTCTGGTTCCTCTGCCTTTTCTAAAATGAGCTTGAACATCTGGAAGTTCACGGTTCACGTATTGCTGAAGGCTGGCTTGGAGAATTTTGAGCATTACTTTACTAGCATGTGAGATGAGTGCAATTGTGCAGTAATTTGAGCATTCTTTGGTATTGCCTTTCTTAGGGATTGGAATGAAAACTGACCTTTTCCAGTCCTGTGGCCACTGCTGAGTTTTCCAAATTTGCTGGCATATTGAGTGCAGCACTTTCACAGCATCATCTTTCAGGATTTGAAATAGCTCAACTGAAATTCCATCACATCCACTAGCTTTGTTCATAGTGATGCTTTCTAAGGCCCACCTGACCTCACATTCCAGGATGTCTGGCTCTAGGTGAGTGACCACACCATTGTGATTATCTTGGTCGTGAAGATCTTTTTAATACAGTTCTTCTGTGTATTCTTGCCACCTCTTCTTAATATCTTCTGCTTCTGTTAGGTCCATACCATTTCTGTCCTTTATTGAACCCATCTTTGTGTGAAATGTTCCCCTGGTATCTCTAATTTTCTTGAAGAGATCTCTAGTCTTTCCCATTCTGTTGTTTTCCTCTATTTCTTTGCATTGATTGCTGAGGAAGGCTTTCTTATCTCTCTTGGCTATTCTTTGGAACTCTGTATTCAAATGGGAATATCTTTCCTTTTCTCCTTTGTTTTTCACTTCTCTTCTTTTCACAGCTATTTGAAAGGCCTTCTCAGACAACCATTTCTCCTTTTAGCATTTCTTTTCCACGAGTATGGTCTTGATCCCTGTCTCCTGTACAATGTCATGAACCTCCACCCATAGTTCATCAGGCTCTCTGTCTATCAGATCTAGTCCCTTAAATCTATTTCTCACTTCCACTGTATAGTCATAAGGGATTTGATTTAGGTCATACCTGAATGGTCTAGTGGTTTTCCCTACTTTCAAAGGGTTCGTTCAGTTCAGTTCAGTTCAGTTCTGTCACTCAGTCATGTCCGACTCTTTGTGACCCCATGAATTGCAGCACGCCAGGCCTCCCCGTCCATCACCAACTCCCAGAGTTTACTCAAACTCATGCCCATCAAGTCAGCGATGCCATCCAGCCATCTCCTCCTCTGTTGTCCCCTTCTCCTCCTGCCCCCAATCTCTCCCAGCATCAGGGTCTTTTCCAGTGAGTCAGCTCTTCGCACGAGGTGGCCAAAGTATTGGAGTTTC